ACACCCTTCTCATGAGGTTTAAACGATGTAGGGTTTGCAAGAGCTCATGTTGTATTTTTACCTAACAAAATATTTTAAAGAGGTATTAGTCCTACAATCAGATTCCTTTCATGATAAGTGTATTTGTTTGGTTCCCATATGTTTATTTTTAGCTTGTCTTAACAATTTATCTTAAGCTTTATTTTTGGTAATGTATTCGCTTTCTTTTTTGGTTTTCTCTGTGAGATATTTTAGTCCTGGATTTGAACCAATAGAATAGTTTGAGGACATAAATCTTCATTTCTTACATTTGGGTGCATTCAAGATGGTTGAAAATCATAATCTAATTATGTTTTATATCATTTTAAAGCTTAAAAAAAATTCACCCCCAAATTAAAATTTGATCTAATTATGTTTTATATCGTTTTAAAGCTTAAAAAAAAATTCACCCCCCAAATTAAAATTTGATCACTTACAAGGAGGTTTTAAAAGCTAATGATTTGGGGCACAGGTCCAGCCAGATAATTTTAGCTTATTTTTTCTAACTTCATGCTTAAACACATTTAAGTGAGGGTAGGCATTCACTCTTCAGTTAACCACCGTGTGCAGAACCCGCTTTTGTTTTATCTTGGTTCATTTCTTGTCATTTCACACATTTATGTTACCTGCCTACCACTTACATGCACTTGAGTTCTTTATTAGTGACTTACAAGATGCCAACTCTCTAAAAATGTGTATTTCAGCCTCAGAAATGCTGGAAATTCCCTCAGTGTGCTTTCCCTTTTCTAAGAAAGTCTGAAGTGCAATATTAATGCCAAAGCTGTTGAAATCATGGATTTGCCAATGGTGGCTATATAATCCTGGGCTAATTATTTAATCCCTCCCAGACGTCTTATCATCTGTAAAATAAGTGTAATAATAATTGCCCTGTGCATTTCAACCAGCGTGCTGCATAGATTTCTAATACCAATGGTTTTGCCTTAAAAATGAAACATGGGGTCTGGTGTGTATACAAGAAGCTTAGAAGTCACCACTCACTCACTCCTAACAAGTAACATGCTGAATAAACTAAAATATCAACAGATTTTCTTAGATCTATCAGAAAAGGGAGGTCACAGGGCAAGCCAGTGCAGCAAAATTAGACAGACAGACAGGCACGTTCAGAGACTCACAGCTTACCAGAGCAGAAGCCCACAAGCATGAACCTCTGTGGGAACCAGCGTCAGGAGAGAAAGACCTGAGCAATGGGGGGCGAGTTGCTGGAGGCTCCCTGCAGACAAGTGTGAGTTAACATCTCCAGGGGGATCACTCACAGGGAGGCTCCTATACTTCTGTGAGTTTTACCTCCAGGTGCTCTACGAGATGCTTACAGTGTGTATCAGAGGAAAAACAAAACAAAACAAAACAAAACAAAACAAAACCTTCTGGCAAGGGGAAAGGACAAGGAACCATTTTGAAATATGCCAGATCATCCTGTTCTTACCAAGGCCTGCCCTCAGGAGGAAACTGCTTTACCAGAACCCAACCTGCTGGGAAAGGACTTCAAGGGCTAGTAAATAAGAGCTACATGGGCACTGTAAGGGGAATCGTTACATCCAAAAGGTTTAAAATAAATACAGCTTTAAGAAATAAAACAGAGCCCATCTCTCCATAGGGATTAGCTAGGAGCCGAATTCATATTCACATCCAGACACTCCTGTTTTCCCTTTTCTAAAACGGAGTACTATCACTGAAATCCTGTGTAATGTATTTCTTACTTAATAAATTTAACAGCTATTTAAATAATCAGCTTACTCTCAAATATAGTATATCTTGAATTCAAATTATCTTTTCTTCTCAATTTTCCCACTCCTGTCAGTGAGGAAGTTAGTATCCTAGTATTATAGACCCGAAAACATTTTATCGTCCTTAATCCATTCTGTTTCTGCAAATTGTCACAACTATCTCTCAGAATTCCTCATTCAGTTTCTTTACCACTGATTAGCCCCAGAGTTATTACCATCTATGGTGTCCTGAGTATCTTTGAACACCTTTTATTTCTATGTATTCATTCTGTTCAGATTCAGCAAGACTTGATTGAAATATTAAAGCTTACTTGTAAAGAATAAGTACTCCAGACTGGGGGATGTGCTTGGCTGGGATGGAGGTGGGTATGGGCAGCCCAGCCACAGAGACGAGTCCCTGAGGAATAGCTGGCTTGTCCAGGCCTAAAGTCCAGTGGAGAGCTTCTGTCCAACTCTCATTCCCCAAATGGTCACTGTGACCATATTAAATCTGGTGGACAGGGAAGAGTGGGAACAAATCCAAGCTCGTGGTAGAAATGGTTTTTTAAAATGTGACCATATAGGGCAGAAGAAAACAAAACAACACACTGGAAATGTATAAAAACCTTTTGCTCTTGAGGAAGACAATTGTCAATGTTGTTCCTTGATCAGATATACTTTTTGTGACTGTATTTTCAAAGATTCCTGTAAAAAGATCCAGTTCCCTTTGCAACTCGTATGGAACCTAACTAAACAATGTCATCACTGAATAAGGAAAACAAGTCTAAGAATAAGGACCAGGAGATTGCAGAGATTTGCAAAAGGAAACTCTGTTTCAGATTCTCATGGGAAGGTTTCTGTTCTCAGCTGGAGTTCCTTTGGGAAGAACTTAATTATTGGCGTGACAGAGCACAAATATTTGCTTAGGTAAATAAATAATAAGTCTATCAAAAACAAAGGATCTCTCTGTAATGGAAGTTGTAATAATAAGTTGGCTACAGACATCTCGTCTATTAAAATAAAAATTCAGCAATTAACTTTGGTTTGATTGTGAACACTCAGAATTGTCAGACAACAATCAATAAATGACAGCTGGAACACCTGCTATATGTTAAGTGCCATGTTGTATGTTATAGGACTATTCCTTGTTTTTAAAATTTATCTGTAACATTTTTTATTTTGTTATGTAGCACTACAAGCTGATAAAAAATCAGCTTCAACAAGCGTTAAGAACAAGGATCATTTAGTTTTGAGAAGAAATGTCTTAAAGCCAAGAGGCAATATGGTGGAGTAGAAGGAGCACTGGGACTATATATCAAAGAAACTTAGCTTAAATTCTAACTTCGGCTTACTTAGAATATTTCTCTGGGTTGCATACTTAAAATCCCCTCTGGGTCTCAGCATGCCTGCCTACAAACTGGGAAAAATACGATCTATAATGCCTATTTATGGAGTTGTTAAAATAAGCAGAAATATTTTACTTCACATGTTTTGTAGGATTTCCATAATATCTAAGCACTTTGGCTTAAGAAACCTATCTAAGAAACCAAATGTGGAAAAGTCTATGTGAACAGCATTCTCTCTTCTCCAGAGATCAAAGTAGATGCTTTTTCAAAAAAGAAAAATCTTTCACACATCAATTTGAATTCCCTGTCACAAAAAAAAAAAACAACAAAAAACTGAACTCTGCACTGAAAATGTATCGATAAGACGAACTGTGTGTCCCACCAGCTCAGCCTCTTCTCTAGCTGGCCAACTGTCTGCCGGCCCCCAGGGTATCTTTACCGTGTCTGTTAATGGAAGCATCTGCTCCTTCACACTGCTTCTCACAGTGAAATGAAACAACAGCAAACTCTCAGTTAAATGACATCACTGTCAACCTAATCATTTAAGTCAGAATTTGCTGCTCATCTTAGGTGTACTCTCCCTTTCTCAAACAGCGTCTCCAGATTTTCTGATTTTTATTGGCTATGTAATTCTCAAAGCAATTTCCCCTTGATCTCCTTGCAACTGTAACTCAGAACCTCTGAGAGTACCGGATGGTCTTTTAATGTGTGTTCCTGCTTCTACTTCAGCTGCTCTTACCTCCTTTATTGTGCTACCCCCAAACTACATTTTATATTACTTTCCAGAGTGGGGTATAAATAATACATAATAATAATAAATAATACATGATAATAAATAAATAATAAAGCATTACTTTCCTACTTAAAAATTCTTGATGACTCTTTATGCCAACAGGATAATGTCTTTAGCATGCCATGTAAGGCTACCATGATTTCTCCTTGCCTTTTAAATGACCCTCAGTTCCCACCAATTTCACTCATTCTTTGCTCTCAACTAACACAGAGGTATCTCAGTGCCCAGTGCCTCTCATCTGCTTCCTATTTTCGCGGCTCTGCTCAAGCTTTTCTCTCTGTCTGTAATACTTTCCTGTGGGTTCTATGAACAATTACTACAAATGCTGTGGCATAAAACCACGTGCATGCATTTTTTTATAGTTCCTGAGGTCAGAAGTCCAATGTCAGCTTCACTGGGTTGAAATCAAAGTGTCTGCCAGGTCCTGTCCCGCCAGAGTCACTAGGGGAGGGTCCATTCCTTGCTTCTTCCAGCTTCTGGTGACCACCAGCCGTCCTTGGCTTATGTTTGCATTACTCGGATTTCTGCTTCTGTGCTTGCATTGTCTTCTCATCTTCTGTCAAATATCCCTTTGCTTCCTTCTAATAAGGCTACTTGTGATTGCATTTAGGGCCAACCCTAATAACTAGGATAATCTCCCATCTCTAGAGCCTTAAATTAATCTCATATGCAGGCACCCTTTTCCTATATAATTTGACATTTACATGTTCCAGAAATTAAGTAGGACCTGATATTTGAGTGGGGAGGGAGGCATTATTCAGCCTATTATTCTATCCCTTTAGAATTTAGTGAGGTTTCTCTTATCTCTGGATCCATGGCACTCTGTGCTTATATCAGTTTCTACTTGATACATAAATATTAAGGCTTCCTCAAAGGCCAGAGGATGGATGATTTTGTTTGTTTTCCTTTCTTACTCCCAGTGCCCTAGAGTGGTGTCTGGCACACAGTAGGCAATCAATATATATTTCTTGAACCTTTGAAATGAAGTCAGCTCTGCTCTTTTATTTTCAAAATAGGTGACTTACGCAGTGGGAAAGAACAAGAAGCTCGCACACAGTTTTCTCACTGTCTGGAGCGTCTCATGGCTCGGGTGGGTTGCTTCCTGACCCTAGCCAATGAAATAATGCAAATAAAAACACTTCATTTTCCAAATGCTGGTTTATTAATTCACTTCCTTAGGATAAAAATTCCAAGGCATAACTGGCCAATGGGATTATATGGAGCACTCTGACTCAGAACACCCCGATCAAACAATAGCTGTGTCCGCACGTGCTTATCTATTAATGTGAAATGAGATCGTATCATCACTATTAATACTTGCATCTGTAAATCAAAAGACATTTTGTTCAGGAGAAGTATCAAATAAAGAGGGCATGTGACAGACATGCTGTAGGATGATCTCCAATGAGCCACACCCTTGTATAAACCCTTCCCCTCGAGCGCAGGCAGAACTGTGACTTGTTTCTAACCACTAGAATACAGCAAAAGTGATGCAATAACTGTCCTATAATTACAAGATAAATATATGTAAAAGATACACCCCCCCCCCAGGATTGATCGGGTGCTAGCACGCACTAGAGAGACAGCTCTTAATTTCTGGCTTTCAGAAGTAAGCTGCCATGTTTTGCAAGGGGATATGGACAAGGCCATGTGGCAAGGAACTCCAGGTAGCCTCCAAGAGCTGAGAGAGGCTCCTGCTGACAACCAGAAGGAAAAAAAAAAAATGTTACCAGAGTCCTATAGACACAAGGAGAGTGGAAATAGCTCTTTCACCAATAGGACTTCAGAGAAGATCGCAGCCACAGTTGACACCGAGATGGCAGCCTGGTGAGACCCTGGACCAGAACATCCAGTTGAACAGTGTCGCGTGGACTTCTGACATCTAGAAACCGTGAGATAATAAATATGTGTTGCTTCAAGTCATGAAGTTTGTGGTAGTTAGTTTGCAGCAATAGCAAACTAAAGCAAGACATAGCTTTCTCTGTAATACAGAACTGGCTGAAATGTAAGGGAGCCATTGCGGAGTCTTAGAGTAGTGGAAAATCACAGAAGAAAAGACTTGGCATAAAGTCAAACTGAAAAAAAAAATCAATTTTACTCCAAATGAGAAAGAAAATAGAGGGATGCCTAAAAAATTTGCCGTGGCTTTATGTTTATGAATATAAAGAGAGGGTACCTTAAAAGGGTCAAGTTTTTTAAAAAATAGATAAGGAGATGGGGTAAAAGGAAATAAAAAGCCAAATTTATACATGTATCATAAGCCTGTTAAATAATATTATTGAGGTTAAAGCACAAGTGATCAGAATCTTGCAAAAAAAAAAATCAGAGAGGGAAGAATCTGTTTTACTTAAGGACCGAGGAGCAGGGAAAGGAGAGCCCTGTGATGGGTGGCCATGTGTCGTGGTGGAAAGACTGCAGGCTTTGTGCCAGCCTGGCTTCAATACTTACTCCCTGTGTAACCCTGAGCAAATCACAGCTCAAATGTTCTATCAGAGAGAATAAATTTTCTTCTTGGAAATTGTATTAGTGAGGGTTTTCCAGAGAAACAGAACCTGTAGGACCTGGTGTATGTGTGTGTGTGTGTGTGTGTGTGTGTTTGTATATATTTATTTATTTATTTCAATTTTATATATATATTTCAGTTATATCAGTTATATGTGGATATATTTAAGTTTTAATTTTGAAAGTTTAATTTTGGAATATTTATTTCTAGAAGGTAATGGAAGGAGTTGAGAAAATAGGAGTAACGCGTCTTTCGCACATCTGCATTGCTCAGCCTTTTAAGCTCACTATTTCTGTAGAACATGCACTCGCTGAGGTAAACCATGTGCTGGCTTCCTATTGAAGCAGCTGTGTTACAGAAGGAAGGCTGTTTTTGACGATTACAGTCACTTTTGTTTCTACTGTATCTACTGACCAACTTCAAGTGATTAAGAAAGAGCTCACTAAAATTTTAGCCTACTTACAACTTTTGAGAAAAACTAAAGCTATTACAATAGCTTCAAAGCAAATCTCTTGTGTCTGTGGAAGGACTGACATAAATTTTTAGAGGACACAAAAGGGGTGATTAGCTGAGTTGTAATTACTATTGGCAATTATGTTTTAACTATTTTCAATGTAGCGGAAAACTAAAACCTTATGAAACAATAAACACCTCAAGAATAATTTAAAGGAGTAAAATAAATACTGAATCATTACCTTGAAAAGATAATTGCAATTATATGTATACATGCTGAGAAAAATTAGCAAAGCCATTCAATTATTTAGTCTCACATATGCTTTGAAAACCTTTGAAAATTGTTGAGGTATTCATCATTTTTCTTATGCTAAAAAAAAAGCCCATGTAATTCATTTAATTACTAACATTACATATTGAATAAAACATTTCTTTAGAATATGATACCCAAGTGAAAGATTATCTTTCAAAGCTTGCTCTAAAAGTGATTTAGAATTACAAAGGCATAACTGTTGTAGGTCAATTCTATTAATGATGTCAACTGAGTTTTTAAATTGCTTGGAAATGATATAAACATCTTTACCTTGTTCAAAGGCGAATTACACACACATATCTCATATCAAAAAATCATATATTATAAATATGTTAATATTCATTATAACATGAAACAATACTGGTTCATAAAGGTGAAGTTTATTATGATAAGGACTTTATACAGTTCAAATTTTATTGCATAAGTTATCAAACTTTATCTTTTTCTCCAAATCAGAATTGACATATAGATTTTTACTACAATACCAATACAATACTATATATAATTGTATATTATATAATTTTAAGACACAATCAAGGAAATAGCCCATAAAGGAGAAGCTAAAGACAGAGTAGGTCAATGGGAGAGAAAGTGTCAGATTCATTGGGAATCAATCTTGTAGGTTCAAAATCCAATTAATGTGAGTTTCAGCCAGAAAGAACACATAAGATAGCGCTGAATAAATTGGTAAAGGAATACTACAATAAAATTTCCAGAACTGAGTAACAGAAATCTCCACATTTAGAGGGCCAAGGGAACACCAGCACAGTGAATGAAAACAATAACATGCATCAAAGAATAATATTATGAAATGTTAGAACAATGCTGATCTTTACCTGATAGCATCCAAGAGGAAAGGAAAAAAGAAAGCAAATGAGAGGAAGGGGGAGGACAGGAAAAAGAGAAGAGACGAATAGAAAAGGAAAGAAAGGAAAAGATAAGAATTCAGATTAGTTGCGGTTTGTAGAGTAGGTTAGTGTTCAGTATTCAGATATGACTTGTTAAATTTTAAGCAAAGACTTCCAAGAGGCTATTAGCCAAAAACTATAATCATGAATAGGTGTAGACTAAAAATGGCCCTCCCAGAACAAATAATGCCAGAGTCCTTTTGTTACACAGCGGTCTGTTTCTCATACTTATTCAGATAAACAACCAGTTCATCAAAAGTAATCACTCATACCAAAAAGAAATCTGTTTAGGGAACCTGATGTTACATGTAATGAGTGAACTGTTAGAATATAAATTGATGAACTGAGCAATTATTAGTTCCATGATTCATATACTGTAGCCAAAAAATACTTGATTGTGGGTTAATAGAGGTTTTTGGATGGTAGCCACTATTCATATTAATGGAAGTTGTGTATAATAGCCACGCTTATTGTAGCATCTTCAACATGTGGTTAGAGTAAATGCCCAGGTTTGAATAATTTCTTTGGAAGAGGTTTTGGAGCATTTGTGATTGCAGAGAAATTGCTTCTAATCTCTGGCTGGGAATGTTATCTGTGGTATTTGTGCCATGATGAATTGCATAAAGTGCTTTGAGAACAGAAAAAAGATAGAACTTAGCAATCAGCTGTCTTTTTTTTTTTCCTGTAAAATGATCCCTTTAGATTCCTTACCTAACCACAACATAGTGGGCAAATGCTCGAGCACCTCAATGCAGTTTAAATCTGTTAGCTGTTTGAAAACATGTGCTTTGTGAGATTAGAATACCATTTTCTTTTTCAAAAAAATCGGCCAGTCTTCCATGATAAATTTCCATATTAGCACATAAAAGTATCCAGAAGTAATTCCAACTTAAAAGCATGTGTTTCTGCTAAAACTTTAATTCCTTTATTAGTGAATTGGATTATAATTAGAGGTAAAATGAATACCACAATTCTGGTTAAAAACGATCCATTTGTATACAGATACTTACTTTGCCATTAATAAATCTAGAAATGCATACATACATCTAAGGGGAATGGTTCTGTGGGACTAACATAATCAGCACCAAGTTCAATTATGAAAATTATTGGATTTTTCTTCTATATATATTTTTTCTTTGTCCTTTTGCTTTTTACCTAGGAGGACTCCTCTCCCCAAGATTACTTGGAAGATTCCCATATATGTGTCAGCTTGATCCTAAAGTTTAATTTTCATGCTGATTTTTAACATCTATAATTCATTTTTCTTCATGGTATGAGGTACAAACATAATTTATTGTTTAATGACTTTCTAATAGTATCAATGCAATTTAAAGATAGCACATGCTAAAAATTATATACTCACAATAAAACAAATTTCTATGTACTCAATTTCTACACTCAAAAATTTATTCTATTAATGAATACATCAACCCAGTTCTAGTAAAATAGTATTTACTTATTTTTTAGTATGATTTAATTCGTAAGATATTTTCTTGCTATTTTACCTAAAAATTTCTCAATTATTTTTGCATATATTCTTTTCCAGAGCAGACTGTCCATATTCAATTAAACTATCTTTGTTGGGATTTTAAATTGCCATTACATTTACCTTCAGATTAATTTGAACAATAATTACAGATAATACAGATAATAATCGGAACATTGACTCTTTCTGTTCATTTTTGTCCATATACTCAAAGCTTAAAAGCTTCAGTAAAGAAATAGAGAATTCTTCATGTAAGTATTATACATTCTCTTTTAGTTTTATTCTTCTTTGCATTCCTTTTTTCCCCTTTTTTTCCTTGTGAAAAGGACTATATTTCTACCATGTTAGAAGTTATTAATGATACTTACCTCATGAAGTTTCTTAGAGGATGAAATGTTGTAAACCTAAAAAACATTAAAAAAATTGCCTGTTATATACTATGTTAAACATGTGTGAGCTACTATTTTCACTGTTTGGAATTATTGCTTTTGTTATATTTATCTTTTATTTGGCCACCTTACTGAATGGCTTTATGCATGCTAATAATGTAAGTAACACAGCTATAGAAAAATAGCATTTGTAGATAATAACCATGTTGTCTCCTTTCCCCCATATTTACTGTTTCCTCATTGTGCTGGATAGGACTGCCAACTCTATGCTGAAAAGTAACAAACAGTATCCTCTTTTTAGAGGAAAATTAAGAGCATTAATTCTATAGATTATTTTATTTTTTTTGATATTTGGATTTAAAAAAAATGTAACTTTAATCACGTTAAGAAATCTCTATTTTTAGATTATGAAAGTTTTTTTTTCTTTTTTTAAAATAGCTGTTAAGTTTTAAGAAGTGTTTTTGGGAGCATGTTAGTCATAGACTTTTTTCTCCTTTATCTTGGTGATCTATTGAAATAGTCTACCAAGTTTCCAGTTGTTCAACCAACTTGACATTTTTAAAATAAGTTGTACTAGCACATGATGGTTGGCTCTTTAAATACATTTCTGGATTTGATTTGCCAATATATTTAGGACCTGGGATCTATATTCATAAGTGACATTGGTCTGGGTATTTCTTTGTTCTCTGTGTGTCTGTGTACACCATTTATGTCTGGATTAGTTTATGATAGGCACAGAAAATGAGTTGGGAAGTATTCCATCTTTTCAAGGTTCTAGAACAGGATAATGACACACAGATACTTTCTCCTTGGGTATTTCTTTGGGTCACTCTGCTCTTGTGAATCTGGAGCTTTGGATGGAGAAATTATACATCTACTCTAAAACAAACTGTAGGGAAATGAGATTAGCTGTGCAGACTAGTTAACCTGACCTCAGAGAAACAAAACTAAACAGATAAAATTATAGCATTCATGAATACCTGCTGTGTAAGTAGTTGCATATTTTTGTGTTTTTGTCCATCTCCCATGACCAGAATCTACTGAGTACTCTGTTCATTGTTATGCTTCTAGCACTGAGAATAGTGCCAGGTCTGTAGTAGACACTCAATAAATTTTTGTTCATTAAATAAATGAATAAAGTAATAGATGATTTTGCTTTGGTTGTGAATGGATGTTTCTTTAAGGAGATGTGAAAAAATTCTAGGTAGTATAATAATATATCTGTCAGAACACTAATTATATTTTAGCACCATTTACCTGAGACTGAAATATATACATATATACACACATATATACATATATATATATATATGGAGAGAGAGACTCTGTTTCTTAGAAAAGTATGTGCATAATTATATTCTCTCTGTTCAGGTTTATAACTTCACTCTAATCCAGCCCCAGGCTGATTTCTTAATTAGATTTACTTTTGGAATCCAGTGGACCTAAAGGAGGAAGAGGCTATGATGCAGAATGCAGGTATCTTGATAACAACCATTCATATGTTGTTTTCAGTGTCACGCATGTTAGGAAGTTAAGTTTTTCTTTCCTATCAGTAGATATACTAAGCTTCCTAAAGACATCAATCAGAAGTTTCTTAGGAAGATAGGAATAGGATTTTCCCCAAAAGAGGAAAACATTTAATTCTATAGTGTAATAAATCAGCTGGTAAACTTCTTTTTAAAAAAAAATCACTCTTGTTACTTTTAACACAGTGGCATGGATTAAAGAGAGCTCATAGCCTAAGTTTAAATTTTTTTAAGTAATTTTTAATAAAAGGAAAAAATCTAAGTTGTTCAGCTGTTACCTTGTTGACACCACAAATTGTCACACTCTCTCTTGCCTTTTTTTTTTTTTTACTAGAGTCTCTCTTCTTTTGGAACAGACACATCACTCTAACCCCCAGTTACTTTTTCCTTCCTCTTTCTATGGGTTCTGCTCCTGTTTCAACTTTTACCTACTTTTGAAGACCTTTTTATCTACTGATACACTTTCTACAGCTCTTAATCAAAGCTGCGTTTTAGCAATGATAATATTTATTGTAATTTTAACTGTCTCCGTTTTTCTCTTAGTAGACTCTATTCTCTATCAGGGCAGAAAATTCACTATTTAATAGTTGGCCTATTTAATTAAACCCAACATAACATTAATAAAGAGTGGCAATGAATCAATGTTTGGAAAATGAATATATTTTTAAGAAGGATGTATTCCTGTGATAGACCTAGCCTAGAAATGAAACTCCTTTACCTGGGCCTCAAAATGTAATCCACAAAGGTTGAATTCTTCTATTTGTTGTTGTAGACTTTTCTCAACTCTCAAATTTATACATATACAAACAAGGAGAGAGAAAGAGAAGAAAGTAATGTGGGGGTGTGGAGAAGCAGGGACAACTGATGAAAAGAGCTATAAAAACTATAAGAGTGATCGTTTTTGCATGTCAGATTGATATTTTTATTTTATAACAGGAGTGAATTATGTCAGAACATCCCTTCCAAATGTCCTTTCCTTTTTAGATTTCTTTTTCCTAATTATAAAGTACTACATAAGGAAACATGGCATGTTTCTGTTCACTACTATTTAAACAACATGAAGCTGATCACTTCATTGACTTTTTCCCAGAAATTTTACTGTTGTCTATTGGTATAACACTTTTTGAAAAGTGATAGAAAAGTTACTTATTAAGGAAGACATTGGAAAGGTGAAACTCTGGGGTGCCCATTGGAAAGGTGAAACCCTGGGGTGCCCATGTTTCTCCTTGAGAGCCTCACGTGACTCAGGAACATGGGCTGAATATTCACGTGCAGCACTGTCAACCTAAACTAAAATATCCAAGGTGGCCATCATCCTCCTTCTCCTGTTTCTTTTCATGATTGGGTTAACTTATCCCCACTTGTCTTTCACAGAAGAAACCCAAGAAGATGTAGGCTCAGGTAGTATTAATAGAAAAAGCAAAACTGATCCAATCAGAGTAAATTGTAACTTTGGTTACAGAGATCTTTTTTCTAGGTCCTAGGATAAGGTAGACTTCAGGTATATGAAAGTAGATTAAGATTTAACAGTTTCTGTTAAAAGTCTGAACAATTGGCTTAATAAACCTTTCTGTCTAAATGGTAATGCCACTGTTTTTTTTTTCAATGGGTCATGTTCAAAACTACTCTAGGAAAATATTTGTAAAGTTATTTTTGGATGGTAGGAGTATGGGGTGGAGCTGGCCTTAGGGAAATGAGAACAGCAATAGTAAAAAAAGATTTAAAAAAACACGTTTGGCTCAAGTCAGTAGCTTTGAAAGACAGGACAGGTCAAGAAGGAGCTGGAAAGCAAGATGAATGATGTAAAGCTTGCTGTCTTGGGTGGTGAGGGAGCAGGCAAATCTGGTAAGTGGTGGTGTTTTCTGTGGCATGGTGTAGAGTACCATAAGAGAGAGAAATATATTGACATGATATATAATATATATTATAACATATGTATAACTTCATATAACTATATATTATTTTTCTTTAGGAGTTTTCACTTTATCAGCAAAGAATGCAATTAACTGTATATTTATTAAAATGTAATATACAGGTTGAGGTGTAACTGTTTGAAGTGTTAATTTGTGTCCTGTTCTCCTGATGTCTAAAATTCATAGACATAACAGGAACTTTCTCCATCACTATCCCGTCTGCTTCTCACTCCGGCACACCTGCCGCCACACATACCAGTGACCAAACAGTGGCCTTGAAAAGATTCTCCTGTCCTGAGACTAGAGGCAGAGAGAGCTGCGTGGAGACCTGTGGATTATTTTTAGATGTCACATTATTGGGAAGAGAAAACTTTGAAAGGGAATGGCTTTTTAGATGCCTGGGAACTGAGCAGCAGATGCCCTGACCTCAGAAGCTATGTTTTTGTTTTATGCTGTTGTGTTTGGGGTCACATTATGATGGTGGTGAGGATGCCACCAGTAAAGCCACCTGAGCCCAATGCATCCTAACAACGGGCCAGACCCAGGAGCTGCAGTAAGAGAAACCAACACTAGAGGTCCTTCCTCTGCATCCTGGATTTTTAAGTCCCAATATCCTTAAACAGTTGCATGTGATTGGTACTGTCCTGGTCAATACTAGCATGAAGCACCTTGGAGCCACATTTACTTTGATAAAATAAAGAGATGGCATAGTTCTTGCATCTCACATTTAATGAGAAATCTGTCTCTGTTACAAAGATAACTTGCCCCGTGTGTGCATTAGTGAGTTACACAGTGATCTGAGCGGGCAGCATGCTAAGATCCCTTCCTAGCCTCCTAATCTTTATGGCTGTACAGTGGGAATCTTGCTGATTATCATTTAGACCAGAAGTTAGTAAAGCTTTAAAGTCCTCATGAATGGTTGGTAATTTTTGAGCTAAAAGGTAAAAGCTTATGCATATAACTAAATTATTTGTATCCTAAAATGGGTAAGCCCCTAAATCCAGCTTGTTTTGTTTTGCAGCCCTTACAGTAAGATTTCTTACCAAGCGATTCATTGGAGAATATGCTTCTAATTTTGGTAAGTCACTACTTCATAGGCTTTTTTTCACCTTGAAACTTCAGCATCATAATTAATATCAGAGAAGCATTTTAACAGAATCTTCCATTTTTGCACTTTTAAGCAACTTATTTATTCACGGATTCTGGTTAGAAATGCCCAAATAAGTACTTGAATTAAATTTTCTTTTATGATAAAATTTGTCCAATTTGATGTTAACTGAGATGGATCAGAAATCCAGTTAGTTTCAGTCTAGAACTAAAAACACTAAAATGAGGACCTCCCCCACCCCCTACCTCCATGTCAAGGGTTGTGGAGCATGTGCATATGGATTTTTTCGTAAGCAATGAAACAATTTTGA